CTCACATGCATGTGAAAGTTGGACAGTAAATAAGGAAGACCATAGAAGAATTGATGCCTTTGGGTTGTGGTGCTGGAGGAGAATATTGAAAGTACCATGGGCTGCCAAAAGAACCAACAGATCTGTGTTGGAAGAAGTGCAGCCAGAATGCTCCTTGGAAGCCAAGACGGCCAAACTTCATCTCTCATACTTCAGACCAGTCGCTGGAGAAGGATTTCATGTTTGGTAAGGTGGAGGGTCAGAGAAAAAGAGGAAGACCCCCAGAGAGATGGATTGGCAAAGGGGCAGCATCAGTGGGCTCAAGCATGGCCACACATGTGAGGTTGGCCCAGGACTGGGCAATGTTTCGTTCTGTTGTACATAGGGTCACTATGAGTTGGTACCAACTCAATGGCACCTAACACCTATTTCCATGGAGCCCAAAGGACTACAGGTAGAATTTCTTTTTAGACATTTATGAATTTAAAAAATGAGGTTTGTTAGCATTAATCTACCTTTCTACACATGGGTTCTATCACCTCTGGCTTCCACAACCTCTCACAGCATATACCCCAGGATCATAGGAGAACTTCTTAATATAACTCCTGTAATATAACCCTTTGCTTCTGCAAATGTCCTTTCTGGCTGGAATGTCTTTGGCAAACTCTTACTCATTTTGTAAAACCCCAGGCAACTGACAGGCCTTCAGACTTTCCCCATCTCCCCACAATCTCACCGTTTCTGTGCTCCTTGGCTCTTGTTCAAGGTAATTCACAGAATCGATGTTATTCACCTATGGGCTGCCTTCTGCTAGATTGGATACTTATTAAGACTGGGGACTATGGCTTGTTCCTCCTTGCAGTCCCAGTCATCAACACAATCCCCAGAGATAGGAAGGGTCTCACCTGAATTGGTTGTGGGTGCTCTCAGGAACAATGACTTCCTCACAGATCTTTTCCAGGGCAGGCATCCAGCTTGTGGCCAGATGGCAATTCTGTAAGACCACCCATGTCCCATCTTTGATGGCTGTTTTGATCATTTTGGCAGCAATAGGGCCTTGGCCTTGGCCTAGGGAGATGGTCTGTGTTTTGCCACCTCCCATGCTAAGATCATCAGCAAATTTCAACAAGCCTGAGAAAAGGAAGAAAAGGAATTTTTAAAAGAGAACAGGTCAGCTAAGATCTTAGGAACAACAGAGACACAAAAGGAGGGGCCACATGAAAATTCTGGACTCAGAGAGCAACTCATCAGCTTTTATTAATTATAAAATAATCATCTCTTTGAGATAGTTTTAGGTTTCTGGTAAAATGGAATACTAAGCTACAACTGACTCCAAAAATATATGTAGTTTAAAATAAAAAATCATACAACCTGGAGAAAGAAGGTGGGTTTGAAAGAAAGAGAAATCCCCAAGGACCAAAAATGAAAACGGAGATCATATCCAGAGAAGAAAGCACACGACCAAAGAACTAGCCCAAATCCACTGCCATTGAGTTAATTCCAACTCACAGTGTATCTATGGGAACAGAAAGCCTTATCTTTCTCCTGTGGATTGGCTGGTGGGTTTGAACTGCCAATCTTGCAGTTAGCAATCCAGGGTTTATCCCACACTGCCACCAGGACTCCTTAACAAGTGAGCTAGCGACTGAGAAACCGCAAATGTATTTTATGAGAACATATAGGAATTTGTATAATGACAAATAAGCCATTTCAATTTCCTTGGCCATCTGTTGTCTTCCCCAGAGGTAGTCAATGTTACTAGCTTTTTGTGAATCCATTCAGAGATGGTTTATGCATTTAAATAAATGCATTTGTTGGTGGTTTTAAGTGCCTTCAAGTCATTTCTGACTCACAGCAACCCTGTATAGGGCTTCCCGGGCTTCAAATCTTTACAAAGCAGAAAGCCTCATTTTTCTCCTGTGGAGTAACTGATGGCTTCAAACTGCAGACCTTGTGGCTCACAGTCCAGTGCTTACTATATGGAGCCACTGTGCTCCCAAATAAATGTATGTTGTTGTTGTTATGTGCCATGGAGTTGGTTCGGACTCATAGTGACCCCTGTATGGGGTTTCCGAGGCTGTAAATCTTTACGGGAGCAGAAAGCCTCATCTTTCTCCTGAGGAGCAGCTGGTAGTTTTGAACTGCTGACTTTGCATTTCGCAGCCTGATTTGTAACCACTATGCTACCGGAGCTCCTTTAAGGATCGTAACTTAATACAAAAGTTTCAGCCCAGCTCCCCACCTCTCTTGCTGCAAAGTTGTCTCCCATGGGCATTAAAATTCTAACATCTAGACTGGTTAAGGAGTCCTGGCATGGTGTTGCAGGTTAATGCACTGGACTGCAAAGTCAGCTTGAACCTCAAGGTCAATGGTTCAAGTTCACCAGCCACTCCTCGAAAGCCCTAAACAGGGTCACTATGAGTCGGAACCGACTCAACAGCTCTTAACAAAACAAGACTGGATAAATAAAGTATGGTTAATCCTGTGCAGCCATGAGAAAGAATAAGGTCTTCCTGTGGGTTAATACAGAAGACTGCAAAGTCGGTTTGAACTGCAAGGTTGGTGGTTCAAGCTCACCAGCCACTCCTTGGGAACTCTATACAGTGGTGTCAGTCTGGGCTTTCCAAGTTCTATCCTTACATTATACAAAACTCTATGCTTACCTGCCATTGGGTCTGCGCCAGGAGACAGCACAAAGATCAGTGGTGCGCAACAGCTGGAGTCATTGTAGGAACCCTGGAGGTCAAACGTAGGGGGCTCAACGTACACCTTCCCCATGTGTTTGGCAATGAACTCACGAACAGCCGGGACAATTTTGTCAGGTCGTAAACATCGGAGAATCACCATCCTTTCCAGTCCTTGAATGAACTTCCATTGTCCGGGAAATGACTCCTCATGGGGCCAGGCTGAGTCATAGATGAACTTCCAGTCTTCAACGTTTTGTTGGAAATGATCCATTAAGCCTTTCAGTTTGGGTAATGAGGATGCACGGACAATTTCTGACCAGGCCTTCTCAGACAGCCATTCGGGAACTGGGTTGGTGAAGGGGTTATCTAGAGCAATGCCTCCAGTTAGAAGAAAGTACCAAGCTTCCTCATCAATTTGCTTTTTCTCTTTCATGATGCCGATGGTCAGGAGGAGGGAGAATAGCAGTTTGTCCTTCTCAAACAGAGAGCGGCAGACGTTGTTGTAAATGCTCAGGGTGAAATGTTCAATGATGTACTCAATACGTAGGTCCAGCTCCTCACTTTTCTTGCTGTTGGCCAGGGATTGGACATACAGGTTTATGAACCACGTCAGGGAGTACTGGTACATTGGTTCAATATTGGCCAGGTCAGAGATACAAAAGAAGATGGTGGCAGAATGAACAGCCACTGGCTTGTAGCCCATCCGGGTCTCGTCAATCTGCGTTTCTGTCACAGAAGCGATATCCTGTTTCTCAGATATTTCTTCAGACAGGATTTTAGAGGAAGACAAAACTTTGATGGCAGTTTCATCCTCAAGAATGTTGCCCTCAGACAAGGAGAGGACTTCCAAGATTTTATCTTCGATTTCCTTTAGCTGCTTCTTGTTCTTGGCGCTTTCCACGATCAACTTATTCTTTTTGTCTTCCAGTTCCGGCTTCTCCTTGGCAGCCACAATGCCAAGGAGTTGATCTTGGAGACCCAAGGGGGTGATCATGAAGTTAAGGAGGCAGACTTTCACAGCGACTTCTGGGAGATAATGTGGATTTCTCAAACGGGTTGTGATGTATAACTTGAAGTCCTTGGAGTATTCAATGATATTTTCGCCTAGCCTCATATATTCGACCCCTTGCTGCTTAAATGTTGACTTGAGCAAGATGGGTTCAATGAAGGCATCCAGTTCTTCCCCAACGTTTTCAAGCAAGACAGGGGTGCCAAACTGCAGGGCATTTTCCAGTGTCCTCACATAGCTGGCATCAGAAAACTTAATGACAGCCAGCTTATTAGCTTTCTCCATGTTCTTGATCCATTTATTGGCCTGCCCTTGAGGGTCAATCATTAAGGCCCAGCGTCTAGAATTGGACACAATGATGCCATTGTCAATGGAGAAGGAGTCAATGGGCAGCCCAGCAATCTGCCAGGCACGGATTTTTACGGGATCCCCTAATGTGTTACTGAGACTGAAGTCATTGGAACCAGGAATGACCTTCTCCGTGCACTGTTCCAACCACTGCTTTTGGCACCTGGTCCGATAATCCACCGTAAAGGCACCCAGGTAAGCCACAGTCCCCGAAGACACCAAGACATCTCCTGTCAGGTTAACATACCGGATCCCTAACTGCCGGGCAGCTTCTGTCCACCTGTCCTTTTCTCCCCCAAGACCACTGATCAGCTTCTCTGCCCTGATAAGCTTTTGGGAGCAGATTTCGATGTTTTCCTCCAAGGTGTTTTTCTTGTTGTTCACCTCTTCGAAGTCGTCATTCAGGGCCTGCAGGCGGTCTTCCACCAGCTTTAGCTCTGCCCGCTTCAGGTTCAGTTTCTGCATCTGCGCTTCCAACTTCCCTTCGGCTTCCTTCAGTCGCTCCCGTTTGGGAGCCACCACTTTGGCCACACGGTCGTACACCTCCATGGCCCTCACCCACTTGCACAGACCTTCACAGGCTGATGACACATTTTTAATGACAGCCGGCTGGAAGTCTGGGTGATCAATAAACCTCTCCCGGATCCTCTTCATGACAGTTGGGGGAATGTTGTCTTTATCGTATGTCTTAAGACTCTCCAAGAATTTCAGATCACCAAGAATCTTTCTTGACACCCCCCAGAAATCTTCTATCATCTTACCTGTTCAGTACAAGAAGCAGAGATGACAGGCTAGATCATTAAGACTTTCTGGTTGAGATTTAAAACTCTGTCGAAACTACTCCTTGCAGTTGTTAAAAAAATCCAAGCTCCTGGCCATGACCTAAAAGGCCCTGCCCAAGCTCACCAACCTCATCCTCACTCTCTGGTCTTGCTTGGGTCATTTCCATTCTTCCACAACCCTATTTGCTTCCTACCTGTGAGACTCTCACCTAAGCTCTAAATGGCATCTGACTGGCTCTTGGTCATACTTCAGATCTCATTTCAAAGCCACCCCATAGAGAGGTATCCCTAGACAACTCTTTCTAAGGTGGCCCCCTGTCTTACCCCTAGCATCTTCTTCCTTTTTTTTTTTTTTGATAAAGCTAGATTTTTTTCTTTCAATGTTTTATTGCAAATTATGTGATAGTTTACATGGGAGAACATTAGTTTTACATTCATTCTATCGTATATCATTTCATTGCCATGGTTACAATCCCCTCCTCACATCATCAACCAACCAAAGGGTATACACTACAAGCTCGCCCCTCAGTCGTCAGCACACAGCCCCTCTCCCTCTCCGGGTCTACAGTCCTCAGCTCTCTCTCTCTCATGCTACATCATCGTCTCTGCCTCCATCTTCGGCATCACTGCTTCTCTGGGTAGGGTCCTGTATTCTGCTCTTCTCCTTTGATGGAGGGACCTCCGCTCCTGGACTGCAAAGTCAACCACTCCCCTCTTTACCCCAGCATCTTCTTTGATCTCAGCTGCTAAGAGGTGGGCCTTACAAGAAAGAATCCTTTAGAAAGCTGCACAGGTATGAGCTGGTCTGAGCAAGGATGAGCTAGCCAGTCCCTCTTCATCTTGGCGGTCCCTGGAATCTCCTGGGAGTTCAAAAAATTACAAAAGCCTGTGCCTTATTTTCTTTATAGAATTTGTCACAGTTTGTCATTTTGGTTTACTTTTGATTGTTTACCTCTCCCTCAAAGCTGTAAGCTCTTGCTGTGATTACTAGCATACAGCTCAGTGCCTGATAGTCAGCAATAAATATCTACTCACCAAGCAGAACTTATAGAGTAACTGTTACCTTGTGTTTCATTCACAGATGGAGATGGCATATATTTTGAATATTCTTTTTCAGATTTGGAAAGTTGGTTGGTTGGATGGAACCTAAAGTGTCTGTTCTCCTTTTAAAGGACAGAGGCCATGAGAGAGGGAGCAGCTGAGGACTCGCAACTCATGGAAAGAGAAAGGCTGTGTGCTGGTGGCCAGGAGGCAGGCTTGCAGAATGTGCCGTTTGGTTGTTTAAATTATTATATATTCCTGAGGGTTTTTATGTACATCCAAAAAAAAAAAAGCCAGAGGGAATAGAAGCAAATTCTGTTGAATAATGTTGTATGGAGGAGATTGTCATTGCAATGAAATGATGAGTGTAAAACCAATGTGTGGCATGTGTCTGTGTGTCTGTTTGTATGTGTCTGTGTGTCTGTTTGGGTCTCTCCATTTCTTCCTCAGTCTCTGTCTCTCTGTGCTTCCTCCTCTTCCTTTTGCTCTCCATCTCTCTCCCTCGCCCACACATCCTGCTCTGTGCCTGCCCCATGTTAGTCCTTTTGTCTACATGGCCTTCTTATCCAGGATGGTCACAGGTCAGCTTCACCCAAATGACGGAGAGAGAAAGGATGGCAGAGAAACACAAGCAAGATCTCCCGTCCACAAGAACATCTCAACTCCTTTCTCCATTCAGTGCTACCCAGGGGCCCTGGCTGCGGTAGGGCAGGGGTGCTCTCTGAGGCCTCTGGAGGGGTGGAGAGGGAGGTAGAGATTACCAGAGCCGCCGGGGTCTGGCTTCCTCTCTGGTCGCAGCCCTTTCATAACACAGATGCTCTCCATGACCAACTTGACAGGGCCAGGGGGGTTCTGCATGGCCTTCACCAGGGAGATGTCTGCAGGGTTCAGGGTGTCCAGCGCTGAGAGGGCGGCTTCCAGGGCTGGCATCGCCTCTGCCAGGTCCCCCTCACATTCGTTCTGCAGGCAGCATGGAGACAAAGGGTGAGTGGGCCTGAGTGTTGCCAGGTACAGGGAGGAAGTCCAACCGGCCCTTTCTGGTTCTCCACTCAGGATTTGGCTTAACCACAGATTTGGATGCTCAGTGGATTTTAATTCCCCATGTACCTCTGGGGAATCCTAGTGTAGCATAAGCACTGGACTACTAACCACAAGGTTGGCAGTTCAAACCCATTGACACTCCCTGGAAGCCCTATACAGGGTCCCTATGAGTCAATTCAGTGACACTTAACAACAACATGTGGCTCTGGAGTTACATCATCAATAGCTGTACCCTATTTTCCTATAACCTGCCAGACAATTAGTGTCCCAACATATCCTATGTCTCCTAGTGGCCTTGCCTTTTCCCTGGGGACAAGACTGGGTGGCACCTTAGTTTTGGGGCAAGTTTGGTTGTTAAACTTTCTGGAGCAGGACAGAAGCCAAGGGACCCATGGCTGAGAGGACAAGGACCAGAGAAAGGTCTGCCTGTGGACACAGCTGAGGAGAAGCTGTCCTGACTGGAAGAACTGCCCTACGCATTTCTGACCCCGTGACCTTCGCTAATAGTCCCCATCACCGTGAATATGGTGTCTGAGTTCTGTGTGGCTACTGCAGTGAGTTATCGAACCAAGAAGAGAATAGATTTCTGTGAAGGAACAGCTGGTGTGCGAGTTGATAAAAAAGGTCAGAGGGTGGAGGCATGTCTGACCTCAGCCTCATGGGAATTGGCCTGGGGCTGATGCTGAGTTTGAGTCTCCTTCCCTTGCTAAAGTCAGAGGAGTCAGATGTTGGCCCCTCCACCCCGTTCTTACAGTTGGTTAGAAGGGCTTGCACAAGGTCTCTACTGGAGACATCATCTTTGACTGTGACTGGTAAGCCTGAGGGGGCTTCCGAATCAACAGGAGGCATTTAAAGCTTCTTCAGTTCAGGGCCCCGCCCAGAGTTTCTGATTCATCATTCTGGGTGGGGTCTGTGCATCTGCATGTTTCACAACACCAAAGGGGATTCGTGCATAGCACTCCTAGACTACTGGAACTTGAACTGGGAGAGGAAGGGGGAACGGACTCAAATGGGGTTGTTGTTAGGAGCCATTGAGTCCGTACCGACCCATAAGTGACCTTATGCACAGCAGAATGAAACATTGCCTGATCCTGGGCCAACCTCACTACTGTTGCCATGCTTGAGTCCATTGATGCTGCCACTTGGCCAATCCATCTCATTGGAGGTCTTCCTCTTTTTCTCTGACCTTCCACCTTACCAAACATGATATCCTTCTCTAGTGACTGGTCCCTCCTGACAATATATCCAAAGTATGAGGAGACTTAAGGGCACAGTGGGTTAGCTCAGCCGGCAGTTTGAGGAAGAAAGAGGTGGCAATCAGTTGGCTTCCATAAAGATGACAACCTTGGACACCCATGGGACAGTTGTACCCAGCTCACTACACTCTCTGTGAGTCAGACTCGACTTGGTGGCAGTGGGTTTGAATTTAGGGCAGTGGCTACTTGATGGGTGAAGCACTTTAAAATTTAAAAAAAAAAAAAAGTCATTAAAATGAAAACCTAGTATTTTTTTTAAAAAAACATTTGGGATGGAATAAAAAAAAGCATGGCACAAATCCCAACTGTGCTGTGAATGGGAACTAGAAGGACATGGGGAAAAATTAAAATTGAGTTTTTAAAGTTTTCTTCATGTGTGTTATTACTGTTACAACATATGTTTCAATGATAAAACTATCCTAATGAAACCTGACCTTGTGGGAAAAAGGAGCCAAGAGTGTCCCTGCACTGGGAAGCTCCTGGCTGGCTGGCTGTTTGCCGTTGAGTTGGTTCCGACTCATAGTGACCCTATATAGAGTTTCTGAGGCTGTGGATTCGAACTGCTGACCTGTGGTTAACAGCCCAACACGTAACCCACTAAGTCATGAGGATTCCTTCCTTGTTGAAGTTCTTAGATCCAGGGGAAGATTTTTGCCAAAACACCTAGAGATCTTCAAGGAATGCCGGGTTAACAGATGCTGAAAGAGACAAGAACCTTTGCCCAGAGCCGACACACAGAGAGAGTCTTCCCATAAACCCAACACTGAATCTGAACTAGCCTCCAAAAGCGTGAGAGAATGCATTTATTTGTTTTGTTTTGTTTTAAAAAAAAGGACTCTGTGACTTGGTAGGGCAAGGAGCGGCAGACTAGGCTGTTGGGAGTCCCATGTTCCTAGTCCCACCGAGTGGTGACCCCATCCACTTGGCCCTGGTCCTAGCAACCATATTTGGTGGTGGTGGTTGTGCCATCATTCAGTATCTTTATTAAGGGGCAATGGGCGACTCATTAACTTACAAAGAAAACGTTTGTGCTTGTGAAGCAAGTCTCGCAGATACCCTATTACTTCTCTTTCAGTCTCTTACTTATCTGGATTCCATGCACAGGGCTGAGCCCTGACTTTGCACTACGTACCACACTGGTTGCTGCTCCATGGAATTTCCTAGATTGGGTGTGAGGAGAAGAGAGAAAATTCACAGACCTCCTACAGTGTCTGAAAAGCTGACTTATGAATTCGGGGCCACACGAAAGCCTCCGGGAAACTAGAGAGCCATCACCAGTTTCTTCTTCTTCCTGGATAGACCCTTCTCCCTCCGCACACACCTCTAGGATTCCAGGACACGGGGTAGGATGTTAGCATTCAACCTCACCCTCCGCACCGAAACTCTAGGTGGCAATTTACTGCCTGCAGAGGGTGTGGCAGGGAGCCCTGGGTCATCTCCTTACAAGCCTTAGTCACTGCCTCCTTCTCCTCCATCTCTCACCTTCCCAGTGACATTGAAGAATGGAATCCTGAGTGAGGCTTCCCCTGGCCCTGTGGTAGCACTCCTGGTGACAGGCTGGCAAATCCACTTGGTGCAGGCCCAAGGACAACTGATTTGGACAATGCTAATAGGAACCATTAAGCCCTGACCATGACTTCACTGGCTTTTCTTCTAGTATGTCCATTTTATGGATGAGGAAACTGAGGTTAGGCAAGTGCAAAACAAAAATTGAGGCCTGGCATGCCTACAAAAAGGAGCTCTGGTTACAAATTGGGCTGCGAACTACAAGGTCAGCAGTT